TTTGACATTTTATATACCATTTTGTCTGAACACTTTTGCTGAAACACTGTTTTCCTAAAATGAAGCTGTGCTTTAAGAGCTGCAAACTTGTTCTTTTTTTGGATTTAATTAAGCTGATACCCGACTCAATGTCCTGTTCCGTTTGCCAAAGACCCCAAAGTTGGGACATTGTCAGTGATATCTTCACGCTTCCTTATCCTGTTTTGTTCTGTCTGTTCAGCTTTTTTCTCTCTTTTCTGCTAATAATCTTTTCCGATCTGTATCAATAGCTTTGCTTCTACTTTTAAAGACTTGTCTCAGATGTTTCACATCTTTTCTTGCTTTATTAACAATTGCTTCCTTTTTCATTATCTGTTTTATCAGAAAGCCATTTATTTGTTTTATTATGTATAAACATGATATTTGCTTCTGTAGCTAATATTGAAGTGTTTGGTTTCTCACGCAGTAACCTATCCATATTATCCATATGTCCAAATACTGTTTCTGAGAACTTATTATGTTTCGGTGCACTGCATGTCTTATTTTTGATATTCTCAGATGCATCTATACCACAAAACCCTCTGGCAAAAAGTCTTTGAATAATTTTTTTACAGAGTTCACTCGATGCAGGTATAATAATCATTAAAATGACCTGAACTTTACCATCATGTTCCCATTCATTTGTCAAACAAGTAAAAAATTTTGAACTTGCTAATTTGTCTTTGTCTACAAAAGATAAATTGTATGTTCCATCCATGAAGCTTGTTGATGTTTGTGGAAATTCATCTAGATATTGTACAAGTTCCTGGTACATTGTCTGTGATTCCAATGATGTGTATGTTTTCATTCTCTAATGCGCACCAAAGAGGGACTGTGATGAGTTCACTTATCAATCCAAGGGCTTTATATACCCAGCAACATATTGCAGGGACATGGATATCATGATGCACAGAAGCAAGCAACTTGTTTTGAAGTTTCAATGTTTAAATATTCTTGTAACTTATCTTTTAAGAAGAATATAGAAGCTGCATTCCTGAAAAGAATGTTAAAGCGATTGCCCCTGAAACGTTCTAGAGGCACAGTTCTGAACCTTTTTTCATATAAAAAATTCTTTACAGTAGGTTGTGGAAGTTAAGGTACTGTCCATTTTTTCATTCACCCCCTTTAGAAAATGCTTTACAAGCTGTCCGCACAAGTCGCACTGTGCCCGGCTCTGAGTTATTTTTGAAAGATGGATTCTAAGGTTGGAGCTTCAGTATCTGATTCATATTCAATAAGAGCCTTTGATGATGTTTCAGCCATGTGAACAAGGGCATGCAGAGAACAAAAAAAGTTGCATAATTTGCTTAAGGAAAGCTGCTCTTCATTGGTCATGTTTTCCCACGCTTCACCAATATCTTCCTTTAATACATCAGTCTGAAGTCTTCCAACAACTGGTTGAACTTTATCTGTGTGCTAGCTCTGTCAGACATTGTTGAAGATATATTCTTCAGTATTTGTTTCGATGCTGGATTTTTCAGCAATTTCTGACATCGCATCTATATCTCCAAGTATCTGCAGCAGAGACTGAAGAACATCTTTCCCAGATTTTGTAACAATTTCTCTCATACCAAGCACCCCAATTATTATCATTCTCATCTGCTGCATGGATACCTTCTTTTTTTCCAAATTTGTTTGTTTCATCACTAAGAAGACATGTGTTTCTCTCTGGAGAAAACATCTCAGCAATATGTTTTTGACCCAAAAGCTAGTCTCTGTATATTCATGTTATTTATGGTTGCTTTGCAAGGCAGTCTATTAGCCTTTATTTTAACTAAGTTTAAAACACTTTCTATCACTGGTGAGACATTTTTAAAAGAAGCATTTAAATTCAAAAGGTCATATACACATTGTTGTAATTCTGGTGTGAATTTTCTACTGTCTTCATGATATGTAATAACATTGTCATTTACAATATCTCTATAGATAATTGTTTTCTTGTTCAATGTTTCTTAGCTCCTTTTCCTAACTCTTCACATTTTTTAATGTGTGTATTAATTTCAAACTGTTTGTTTCCAGTTCAGTTTGCATAACATTATTTCTATGAATTTCCTGTCCTAGTTTGACTTTTTTTTTTGAAAGACATGCTTCAACATACACATTTTTGAAACGCAGTCTTTTCAGTTCATAATTTTTACTTTAATTCTATTTTCCAAACATTTTACATTACCTGTTAAGGCGTTTTTCAGATTCTTTGTGTTCTTTAATTTTCAGTTTTAACCTGTTTAATTTCCCAATTTTTTGCAGTTTAACTCTGATTTTTTTTCTGTTTCGTTTAAGTTTAGTTTCAAGTATTTTATTTTCTTCTTTACTGCTGTTAAGTTCTTTTGCTATGTCAGCTGTGACAGTTGTAAAGGCATTCTACTCTTTCCTGTAAATGTACAACATTTTTCAGACTTTCTAGGAAATGGAACTGTCTCTTTTTCTTTAGGAAAAGAAACTGAAGTATTTAGAAATACATTCAAGTTGTGACTGGACCTCCTTTTACACGTCTCAGTTTAAAAACACTTTTTAATATTTATAAAAGATTCTCTCAGTTAAAAGTGTCATAAAGACTTCTTTACCCTTGAAAGTTTTTTCAGAGTTACTTTCACTGGCTATACTATAAAACCATTTGCCTACACTCTGCAGTGCTACTTTTCTTTTTAATTTTTTCAACTACCAATGCATACTTAAAGTGAAGACTCATACTGAAGTAGTTACTTAAACACAAAAAATTTTTGTGACAAATTAAAACCTTTTGAAATAACTTGTATTAAAAAACCCAATCAGTTGTGGCTAAAACAGATAATTGTTTGTGTACATGCATTTTTTGAACAAATTGTTAGTCTTCTCTGAATTGGAAAGCTCATTTGAAGTGTACACTTCTGACAATTTCAGTTCATTTTTTTCAGTCTGCTGTTCATTGCTAACTAAAATATTGAAATTTCCCTTTTTATTTTTAAAGTGATCCCAAGGGGAAAAGGGTGTCATCCCCTGCCCAATTGTATTTTCCCCAGAAAAAATGATGTTTTTTGTAAAAGTATTCATTAGAGTTTCTACCCGAAAAAACCCTTAAACAGATGATTCTTCCCCAGTCGAATAAAAAATTTTTCTGACAAAATGTACTTGTATTCGTTTAAAACCTTTGGAAAAAATTTTACCAAAAACCCAATAAGCAAGCAAAATGAGGGTTAAAAATTTTTGGCCAAAATTGCTTCTTTGTTAAAAAGTTAATTTAAAATTTTTCCAAAAGTTTCACTTAAACAAAAAACCCCCAAACAGCTTGAAAAGAGGGGAAAACAAAACAAGAGTGAAACGTGATAAAATGGCCTATAATTTAACCCAAAATTAAAAGGGCATAAGTTGCCCATGCTGCCAACCTCGTTGACAGACCTTGCAAGGTCATACATAAGTCAAAGTCATAAATAAACGGAAAAGTCATGACAATTTAAAGCAAACTTGAAAAAATCTGACCTTATCCGTCAAGGTCATATAAAGGTAAAGGTCATATCAAAATCATCCAGCATGTTGGTTAGGTTACAAATGTTGTATCATTCAAATATCAATCAAATGCATAAATAAACGGGCAAAAAGTTACATTGAAATTATAGCCAAAAACATTAAAATTCCATTACCGGTCACAGTCAAACATAAGTCAAGGCCACATTTTGTTTGATAAACATGTAGGTATTGTCATTAAGAATGTTATGTTTAAATATGAAAAACAACTGATTCTTAAATAAAAAAATTATAACCAGTTACAGCAAAAAAAAAAACAAAAAAAAAAAACAGGAAATTTCACTAATTTAACGTTAATGGTCAAGGTCATTTATGAATGAAGGTCAAGGGTAGTCTAGGCAACTGGAATGCATGTCCTAAGGATTGTTATGTCCAAGTATTGAAGACAAAACCCCATTGACAAATAACAAAAGTTTTTTAACAAACAATTTTTCCCTCAAATGTATCTGTGACTGTTTTCCCCTTTTTTACAGAAAAGAAAATAGAGTAACAAGAAACAAGCAGCTAAGATGGTATTTCAAGGGAGGCTATATATCTTACTATACATGCTTTTACTGTGATATCATTATTAAATATTTTGTAGAATATTTTAGTACTTAATGTATTCTTTCACGTAAAATATTGAATATTTACATGGCACCAAGAAATAATTCATCAAGTCCAAACATTTCAAGCATAAATTATGATTTCACAGTATTGGAATGTAACTATATTATTGTTCAAACTATGCATGACTATATTAAAACTGATAGCACAAAATTATTTAATTCCAAATATATTTAAATACAGTACAGACAACAATTGTTTTGGTGGCATCTTTTGGTGTTATAAGAGTAATTGTTTTCCTTATAAAACAGCGAAAAATTTTATATTGATAATTGAAACTTAACTGGTACATCTGTACTGAAACAGTATAAACAAATGGTTAATAATTCTCATAACATTTCTTACTGACTGATCATCCAAAAAGAAAATAGAAATGGACTGTATCAAAAATGTTCATCAATTTGACATTCTGTTTTGCCAATCTGGGCAAAAATAAGAAATTATCTAACCTTGTGCTATTTCTTTAAAGCTTATTACATGTGGTTAACTGAAGGCATTCTGCTATTTTGAAATTTATGACAGAAAACACACAAACTACAGTGATTAATAGCTGACTATATCTTTTTGAGCTGTACATTAGCATGTTACATATTAGGTGACTAAAAGATGTACATGTTCTCACTAATATACTTACCAAAAAAAACTTTAACTTTTTTTCTAGGAAATACTGGGCTGGCCCGAATCCTAGAAAATAATACAAGTAATTCAGAATCGTACATAAATTGCAGCTCTGCTTGGATCACCATGGTAGCTTTCCTATTTTAGACTGTTGTTGCAAGTTTATATATGAGTTTATCAAAACAAAAAGACCTTTGACATAATCAAGTGGCTCTTTTGTTTTAGTCGGATTTTAAGTCACACCGACACAGTGCAGGTATATGGCAACTTTCCAGCTTTATTGGTGGAGGAAGACCTCAGGTGCCCCATCAGGCATTACTTAAAGCATGAGAGAGTACCGGGGTAGAACCACCAATGTTCCTTAAGCCAGCATCAAGTGGCTCTATTCATGCAACAGCCAACAGGCTTAAAACTCAAATGTTTTATTTTTAATGCTGGCAGCCCCAATTTGTCATGTTTCTACCACATTGGTATACACTACCATACATATCTTTCAATTTTAAAAATATATAAAAGCAAAGTTATCATCTTGTTCATACCTGTTTCTGTGAACTGTCAGTGTCAGAATCTGAGCTGATGAAAATCACATCCGGTGTAAGAGGTACTGGTGGCTCTGATGTTGATGGTGGAATGGTGGACACCTGACTTGAAGATGGACTGGAAAAGATAATTAACTGATTTACCATCAAATTCTTAATGAACATAAGATTACACTGAAATTCCAAAAGATCTGACATTTGAAAATATTTCATTTTTTTAATTGTTGATACAACATTTTCTTTTTGGTAGTATCAATGTAAAGTTTGATAAATTGTAGTATACATTGTATTGTTTGATAATATTTACTGTTTTAGTGCAGTGAGCACTAATCATCTTAAGTAATGTTTGTTCAAATAAGTGAATTCAATTCAACATAAAACTTAAAATAATAAAAAAATTGTTATTCGGCATTATATCTAACAAAGACATCAGATGCTTCCTGATTTGGTTCAGTAAATGTAAATAGTTCTTACCCCCAATGCCCCCAATCAAAATCCTGGCCCTGCGGTAAGCTGGGGTTTAAAGTCACTGTTATCACTGTTACCTGTGTCTGGGGTGGCTGGCTCTTGAGCTGGGGAACTAGCGAACAAGTCAGCTTCACTGTCAAACTAGAATTAAATTAATCAATTGAGTGGTTATATGACAACAATTAATAATAATCTTGTGTTTTATTATTTAATTTTTTGGGGGTTTCAAGTCATACCAACACAATCATTGAAGGGCATTTTATGACATTCTAAGACAAGGCTCCATGTGCGCTATTTCAGGCACAGGTATCTTGGTAGACTCACCAGTCTTCTGTAAGTGTAAGTCATTCGGATAGTTCTAAGCCGGATTTGAAAATTGAATGCCACTGGACAAGCGATTAACTGATTTGAAGCAGTCTCCTGCCCAGGCTAGTAATACGAAATTACATGACATTGTATATAAATAGTCTTCATTTTTGATAACTCAGACCTTAAGTTGAAGGTACACACGTTGAACAAAATTGATATTACTGCAACAGATCACGTGGGTGGGGTAATGTTTCGTTTCACGTTGGGCTTGATAAAAACATTAAATAAGTTCAGAGACGAACATGAGTATACCAGACACGTTTTTATATCTAAAAACTGTTAATATATAGTTTTATTATTCAGTAAATTACCATCACATAAGCTGTTTAAATTACTAGAAGAAAGAAATTTCTGCGACGAAAAGTCGAACAGATCTGCATCTGCTAGGTGCGCGTTCAGGGGAGGTAATTATTAAGATAACTCTTCTGGGGTTGCATCGAGAGCAGGGTTCGACACAGGGTGAGTCACTTTAAGTGACTTTTATTCAACTTACTCTATCTCAGATTTTTATGAAACATATATGGAATTAAAGATAAATAAACGTTCTTTTTAATGAAAGCTGAAGATTTCTGAAGGGATCATGCAGATTTTGGGCTATTTCTGGACCCAAAAAAAACGACTTTTTTTATTTGAAAAAATTACCCAACTGTTTCATTTTTTAAATAAAATTTGAACCCATAGGAGGCCTCAGCAAGGTTTCAAGCCTCATTTTCAACCATTCCCACCAAAAATATAGAGTTATAAATAGCTGAAAAACAACGGTTGAATATGACATGTACGTTTCTAAATATAGCTGGAAGTCGGAGAAAAATAAGAATTTTCTATAAATAGTACAGTAATTAAACTGGATATTGATAAAACAAAACTAAAAAACATGTCATAAAGATAGAGTTGGTGGATAGAAGAACATTTAAACCTTGATTGTATCGATGAAATTTAGGGGTTTATCTTGCATAAGTATTTTTATTTATTTTTTTAATATCATTAGTAAACAACGGTGACAGATACCAAACGCACATGCACAGAAAGCTCTGATCTCGCTATATTAACATCAACAACATTTTAGTTCAAAATGTAATCGATATGAAATATTAAACGGCAAAAACAAAAAAAATAAACAAAAAAAACCCCACACATTTCAGGTAAAGGTTATGTTTTGAAGATAAAGCATGTATTCTTATCAGTAACTGACATCTCTATAACACTCTGCGAACAATGTTTGTAAACAGAACAGCGCGCGTGGGAATACAGACGTGCAGTCATATTATTATCTAATTTACCGATACTATTGTTCTTTTAATACTCTAGCTTAACATTTCTAATTCATCGCTACCAAAAAGTGATTTAAAACACCCAATAAGTAAACAATATCTAGAAAAGGTAACCCCTCGAAAGCATTACATGAAAATTATGTTATTTCATCTAAATGGCAATCAAACTGGTAAAAGCTGTATTTCACAAACTTCCTGGTCTTGATAAGTCAGTATCTTTATCTCTCCCTTACCTTCCTGATCAAATTATTCTTTTCTTCTTACACATGTTTACCTTTTAACAGGAGGCGTTGATCCATTTTGTATATCTTGCAATGAATATTTCCTACTTGAATGCCATGACCGTGTACATGTTCGTGATATAATTTATCGGATCAATTCGCTTAGAGAACGTTTGCTTCAGTTCCACCCAAAACCCTGATCGATTACTTAAAGCACGTAGACAAAAACAAGAAAAAAACTAAATAAGATTTTCATTTACCATAATTTTGTCCACATACGTATTGCATCTTTCGTCGGTCAGCTTGCAATGACATCACTCTTAAACAAACAAATTAATGTTATCAAAGATGTAACAACTCTCTACTTTTTGAAGATAGAGCTATTATAAATCACGAAATGTGTGCATTCAATTCCATAACATTGTACAATTACGTCGTATTTGTTTAATGTTAAGAATAAAGGCATTAGAAGTATAATACAGTTTGGGTCGCAATTATTTAATTACTTAGAGACCACACGCCGCTTTGTCATAAAATGCCACAAACGAGTCACATTGTATGCCGTATAAACACATCTGCGGGTGAATCTAAATTCAAAATTTTAAGAGTACATGTTTAAATGTTGAATACTGCTTAAGTAGGTGAAAGTGGGCGTGGACGGTTGCTTGCAATTACCAGTACCGTCCATGAACCGTCTCATTCAAATCAATCCTGTACAATTTTCAATTTTACCATTTTGGACTTTCGTCTGGGATATAATTTTCTCGTTTTTACTAACTAGAATTCTACGAACACAACAATAATGTTACACGCAATAACAATCTTCAAAGACCGGTTGTATAACATCTCTGGTCGAACGTACGGTGCGAAATTTTACGATGTAGGCACAAATGCTGATGCAACACTTATGTATGAGAATAGGTACCAAAGAGAAAGCATAGAACGAAAACATCGAACATGTAGCAGGCTAAGTTAAATAAACCTACTCATGGCTGAAAGATCAGGCAATTCCAAGACTATCTCAATATCTCGTTGACAAAACTTGACTTCTTAAATAAAGTCCCCGAAAACGGTAAAAATACTAGTTCTCGTCGACGCTACCTCATAATGGCTTTAACAGGACATTAACATAAAGATTGGTTTTAAGGACAAGTTAAAATGTTCGTGATCTAAATAGAATATAATTTTTAGAGGGGATCGCATGCAATAATGATATGTTGTCAAAAAACAATCTTCAAAAAGCAGGCTACATATTATGCTTGAAACAATAAAATTGAATATTTGTTTCCTGTAAAAATACTTAAATGGTTTTGATATCTCGGCATATATATTTGTTACTCTGTTGTGTTTGTTTGTTGTAAGACAGACATTTGAATCAGTAGAAGAATAATACTTGAACATTTATGTATGAAATAGATTTCATTTCTTGCAACTTAGATGGGAGCCAGACTTTATCCAGATTTTTCTACAATTTTCGCGTATCGTTTTCAAAAGAAGTATATCATTGTGTTAATCTGTAAATCAAATGTCTGTAAATGGTTTATATTTAAAATATCGTGAATTGTATGTGTGAACGTTTTCTGAAATAAAATTGTTTCCATATAGTAATCAATACTTACAGTCTAGGATATTAATATTTGTTTTCGTTTGAGATATACTGCATAGAAACAATTATTTCAAAATAAAAACAAACAATAGTCTATACATATGAGTTGGATACTTTTTAGAATATATCTATTCGTATATGGTCTTTAGAAAATATGATTAAATCATTTGTTCTGCATAAAAAAACATTAGAGATAAGAGGACACTTATATTTCCATAATAATACTGTATTTAAGAAGCAGACGTTCAGTTAACACATGCTTGTTTTTTTGTTGTGCAGACTCAATCAAACCGAGTCTGCAATTCTTATGTAATTTTGTTGTAATTAATGCTTCCGAGGGATCACTTTGACTCCAGATTGTTTTACTATAAACAACCTTTTTCAATTTTTTGTCAACGAATGCTGGTGGCATTGAGTCGAATCGAATTTTTGTCACTATACTGAATATTCTGGTAATTCATTTGGTTGACGATGCTTCTTCCAGACTCATGAAGAAAAGGAAGTAATGTGAAATGCCAAGAAACAACTTGTCTTACTTTTCTAGAAGGATTCAAACGCATTCCGAAAGTATATTATTAGTAACTAAGAGCAATATATAGATTTAGTTATATCATCTACAAGGATGTTTTCTTAGAGCTTTGTTCACATGTTGATTTTCGTCAAACCATGTACTTTTTTTAAGATTACTCAAAATCTTCAAAACTAGCTTTGTGTACTTTTTATTGACTTGAGTCTATATTGACTTGAAGAAAATAGCTCATCTAACTGTTTAAATGTGTTCCTGTGACACGCTTGGTAAATGATAGAGCAACATCTGTCGGAGGTTAACGGTAAATTGCTCTATCGCTACTTCGGAGCTAGTGCATGTCGCTAAAATCAAGTGTCAAGTGTTTTCGTTTTTTATAAATTTTGTAGACTCTACAAAATTCGTAGAATGCTATGCGATGTAGATTTGATTAAAATTTCCAGAAAACGAAAAGTTAATACACTTGTGTTTTAAATGTAGTTGTGGCGGCGTTTTCCAGTTAACGAGTTCAGCGTTGAAATAGACCATTTCATTATGGAACATATTAGTTTTCCTCAAATTGTCATCTAAACAGCGATTTAGATTAAAAACTAATATGTTTCAAGAAGATAAAAGGTCTAGAAATGAAATAAGTTTAAATTCAGATAAAAACATTAGTTAATAATGAAAGTATAGGATATTTGTTCTTTGATTTCAAAAGGGACCAAAAATGATATGGTTAAGATTGTAAAATAGGTTTCGGTGAAAAAGATATCCAGGATGTTGATACAACAAGAAAGAAATAAACTATTTGACAATATTTATGTTACATAAGCAGTTATTCCTGCTACATCATTCACGCAGTGTTCAAACTTTAGGATGATTAGTAATCTGTACAAATGTGAACATTGTCTACAAACTGAGACTTCACATTTCAAATTTACACACACAGTTACTTAACACGAATACAGTATGTATACATTGATGCAAACAATTGAGTATGCCTAAGAGTTTGAAGCGTCACATAGTAACCGTTCACTTGGGAGAATAGAACTATGATTGCGACAGTTGTCTGTGACAAGATTTATTGAGCTTCTGGTGTACTTGTTTATAAAGGTTTCTGAGAAGATTTCTTTGTTCTCTATTTAATATGCCCAGTGAGTTGATATTTTACCTAATGTACTAGTTTCTACATTGTTTCCAGCTAGTCGGAAAGCTATGATTCTTGTTTCCCTTTAAAACTCCTTGAATATCCAGTAACTCAGTGTGATGGAAATATCGCAGTCATTGTGAAAAGTAACGCAGAATTGTGCAATTCTGTGGCCGAACAAGGAAATGAACCAATATCTTTATTGTACATCAAATTAAAAGAAGTGAATTAGCGCATACGGTTGTTGAGACATTATACTTAAAACATAATCAAAAATACATCCATGACAATGTTTATTTTTCAAGATCTTTCGTGAAAATTTCGATATGACTTTTGAGTTTCGTCGTATCTTAAAATACAAAATGTACAATAACGTATATATTACATTATGAATTTTGATATTCAGTGTACCCGAAACATTAGCAAAACAACTCGTGTCTTGATATACACGATGTAAATACAGTTCTATGAAACGGACAAATATTTACTATGTTTATGATTTCTAAGTTCTGTACAAGAAGTTATAAGTCTTAACATGTATTTGTAAGTTCAGTTCTTAATGTAACGTGACAAAAGTGATTAGATAAGTATTAACTAAAGGGATATTGAATGAGCGCAGGTCCGTTACTTAATTTAATACT